CACTGCTGAGAGAGTCTGACGTCCGTGATGTTGTCAAGCGCTGCTTCGGGCAGATATTGATGATTGAATCGTGTGGACAAAGCCCCGGGTGGTGCTCAGTGATTGGAATACCTCCTCTTATCCAATTACACAGTGGTGGAATTATTTTCTGACTGGATTTCATTAAGAGGAGAGTCAACCTCTGGCAATTATAGCAATGTATCTGACAGTAAAATCCATTAGTTGTAATGAATTGATCAGCACTGAGAGGAACAAGTGTGTTCACTGAGCAGCGGTGGTCGTCCGTCACACCTCAGCTGTTCTTTTCCCTGGGTCACCGGTTCTAGTCTTCCATAACCAAAATGAAATGGATAACTGCCTATACCAGGCTCTGGAAAAAGATTTGCAAAAATCTGGAAAAAGATCTTCTCATATTCATGAAACATGAATAAGATCATGGACCTCTGATCCAGTTTAGACTGATACCATAGGCAACTTGATCTGATTTAGATTAGGGCAAAATAAACTCCATCACGGACAAAGAACTATGCCTCGATTCAATACTCAGGATCGGTATCAATCCGTTATCGATAGAAACAACTACAGCCCATCGATCTGATACCCAAGACCAAATCCTCAACATAATTTTGTGTGACATGCCATAAACAGAGACACTATCGCCTCAGCAACAGCAGTCCGCAGCAGCTGGAGGAGAGAAGAAGGTATGGGATTGATATCGGTATCTACAGATAAGTTGCAGTATTGGTATTAAGTTGTATCCAGTCATCCCTAGTACAAACTTATTCCAACTCTGGACCATGTCATAGCGTCTCAATGGATTTGGGTCAGACCCAACTGAATTCATGTATGTGTTATGTTGGAATCAGATATGTTGATTTAGCCACCAAAACGTTCTTACTGTGTCCTAACGCTGTCCCTTCTTCAGCCCTGACAGAAGCTGCTGTTCCAACAACAGGACAAATGAACATCTGTATCTGTGTTGGAACAGCAGTGAGTGTCTTCTGCTCCACTGAACCATCCATCTCCGCAGGGTCAGGCTGTAGGAATTATCATTTCGTACACGCACATCTGTTTATCCATCCACCCATCCATCAATTCAACATGAGTCATGGTAGGATTCAAAGACAATTCCACTTGACACTGGCTGACATGCAGGTTACATCACGGCTTACGAAATCCAATATACAGTAATCCAAGGAAAAATACTATTTGGATTAAATGCACTTAGCATATACAATTTAAAAAAACAGTGGTGTTTTATGTACATTACACCAAAATGTAGTTATTCTGAAGGGTATGTTTGGACAACATTGTGAACAACCTAAAGTATTTCAAGTTCTATATTTCAGTATTGTATAAAGTAATATTACATTTCCCCCCGTTTTTTATGTCCAATATGACAAGTATGACATTACTGGTGGGGTTGTTCTCTGCTGCACGCTTTCTGCCAGATGCTCAACAATAGCATGCAAAGTTACAGTAGAGTGCATCAACAGTGCAAGGTCAGACAGCCATTCATCCTCCATTAAGCTGTTTAATCTCTAAATGCTGCTATTCTGTTACCGTGGGAGCTGCACACAGCAGTGCAGGAAGAACAGTCAAGATAAAATACTTCACATACTGTACACCAGCAGTAACACAACCCTCTGTCCGACTACAGCCTACAGTCTGCTGTGTATTCTGACTTTTGCAACATGACAGCAACAGCAACGTAGGCTGGAGCTGAGTCCAGCCCAGGCATCCTGCCCAGATATCCAGCCCAGACGTCCTGGCCAGTGCCTTTCAGATGAATTTTTAACTGTTTAATGAACCAGAGAATTAACAAAAACCATATCTCTCTTCCAAACCTTGCTGTAGATCCACTTGAGTTTTTGCAGCAGCAGCCATTACCTGTGTTGCTTCAGAGATTAAATGTACTGCATGTTTACTTGTAAAAAAAAAAGAATGTAAGTAGAATTAAAAACCTTTTATCTGATTTTATTTCAGTTGGTCACACTGAAGTTTAAGGTTCATTTCCTGCAAAACCATACATCATTACTCAAACAACGGAAAATAAACAAATGATTTCAAGAAATGGTAAAAATTATTATTATTATTTTTTTTAATTCAAAAAAATTAAATCAACTAGTGTTTGGCAAATGACTGTGTTGCTCCGACCTCATGTACAGCTGCTGGCTTTGCCTATTCACCAACTTTGTGAAAATAAATCTTTTATTCTCAGAATCTGTGCAGCCTCGGCCTCGAAAACAGGCAGCGGTTCTGGCACAGAGTCTTAAACCAACTCATTTATGGTGTTTGTCCTGTGGCATTGGACCAGAGAAATGTGCTGCTGTCCACTTGATTATTGGACTGAGGAGGAAAATTGAGTTAGTACTTTGATAATGAAGTTCCATCTCCTTTCTCTCGTCTTGTGTGTATTTAAGTGCTGTGGTTTTCAAAGTGGGGGCGCCGAAGGGCCTCAAAAAAAAAATCGTCAGATTTTCAAGTTTTTGATAGTACCTGAATGCACCTCATGTGACTGCTGCAATTTTGACATGACAAAGTCATAATCTGTCCAGACCTGGTAGTTTGCACTTGTTATCATAGAACATAAGGTTTTTGACAGTGCTGAAAGCATGTTTGTTAAAAATAAAATAATAAAATAAATTTCATGAATAAAAAGATTCGTAACCTAAAGACACATAACTTTCTCTACAAAATGAATGCTGTGGACCAAGATTATCACTTGGAAAACTCAGGTTTTAGCTGCAGCATCTACTGCAGTGGGAGACTGGTGAAATCTACTTGGAAACATTTGCTGAACCTACAAACTTTACCGTTTCTCACTATACTTTTGTCAAACTTCCATCACCCTCTTCACACACAAACACACACTCACACACCTAGTTCTGGATTCATAGAGAACTTCTTCCATGTCTCCCATAGTCGATTTTTCACATTTATGTTTTGCTGTACCTGTAGCTGCAGGCAAAAAACAGAGTAAGTCATAATTTATTAATACACCAGGTGTATATGGGGGAAAGAAAGAGCAGCTTACAGTGAGAACAGACCTGTTCATGGTCCGATCTGCTGGACGATCACAATACATATAATGTGGGTAATAATTTTTACATTCTCACATAATTCTGTGAAATATTTGAAATCTCTTTTGGAATATTTCTCACATATTTCCCAATAAGCAGTATCACCCGGTCCTTGTCAGGTTATTGTGATGTTCATGGCTTGATTTTTCCAGCGACACAGTGAGTTTTGTGCTTTTTGTAAATAAATTCACTGCACCTGAAAAGAGTCTCCCTCTGCTTCATCTCATGGCAAAACATAACAGTACTTGTCTTTTGTTTGACTTTAAGTGATCTTTTTCTAATGTACTATCTTGGCTGACATTAAAGACACTTTTACATATATTTCAACGTATACTGGCAATGTTAGTAGCTAAATATTTGGGCGTTTGCATTATTGACAATTCTATCTGAATTGTTATAGCATTTTTCAATCTTTTTAACAAAAACTGTTGGTTAACTTGTTAGCACTGTGTCACCAATTGTTTGGCTAAACTGGGCTAGTCATTTAGCCATTTATGGCTACATATGTTTCTGGCGATATGGTCTTTAAACATTAACTTTTAGCTTTTCTCTTGGTGGATGTAGCGGTCCCAAAGTGTAGCAGTTATCCCATCTTCCTTAATGCAGAAGGTTCTGTGTTTAAGCCCCAGAGAAACAACATACTTAATGGAACCTCCGGTATGGCAGCCTGTGAGATACAAACACATATTTAAAGGCAACTTCTGTGGTCTGTGTGTTGCAAGGACTTACATTATGAATTTCTGCAAGGTACTTCAATTTTAGATCTGCTTATCTATTTACCTAAGTATTTTTAGTGACTCTCTTAGCATTGATTAGCTTGAACAATCTTTTCCACTATTTCCTTTCTTTGAAATGTTTTTCCTTGCTTTTGGTTGCTTTCTTTTTTCTGGGCTGAGCTGTACTGTCGTAACACCTACACTATCATTTCTACTTTGCTTTTGAACAATTAATTAACTTTTAACTGTCTCCTAGCTCTAGGATAGGCTAGCTCATGGCTAGGTTTAAGCGTTTCAATTTTTATTTTAGGTTTTTAATTAACACAAGATGCAACCTTCAGTATATTTCAATGCATTTGATAACACAGAGTTTACTAAAGTAAGTCATTTTGGAGTTATGGTTTATTTTATTTTCACAAGAGTCAGATTATGGTAGTAAACAAACAAACTCTTCTTCTCTTCCTTTACAGTTTACCTATGTCACCTCAGTCATTGTGTTTCTGCAGCCTGTAAGGAAAACACACAGCAGACCTCTGATTAAATGGGGTTGAGTTAAGCCTGACTGCGTCCAAATATGAAATGTGAGCCCCTGATGGAAGCTGAGGGTGAATTAATAATAGAAAGCAGAGGTGGCTCAGCTGCTGTGTCTGTGCAAAGACAAATAAACAGCTTTTTTTAAAATCCCACATTCCTCAAAGTCATACAGCAGTACTTCAGTCCATTTTTAATGAGTGTTTGGGAAAAAAAACGTGTCAGGATGATCTGCTGGCTGTCACTTATTATTGTCACATGTCATTTAGGTTTTTGTGATTGAAGCTTCAATGGGATGTTATTAAGTTTGTTGAGTTGTTGTTCACACAATATTTCTCAGCATACAGTGTCACAAACAACAAAAGCTGTATAAAGAAATACTGATTAACGACGAGAGTATAGAGTTGATTGTCTGCTTGCTTTTATCATTTGTTTGGCTTCTCTTGAGACATGATAGAAAGCTCAAACACCCAGGATTTTCAGATTTCTTTTTTCCTTTTTTTTTTCAGAAGACGTTTTTTGGTTTTGGTTTGGTTTTCTGTAGCTTTTACCTTTTGCCATAACCTTTTGGTGCAATCATAAAAACAAAACACTTTTCCCCTCGGCAATAAAATTTGCACAACGATCCAAGGTCAATACTAATGTTGGTATTTGTGACGTTTTTCCTTAGATGAAGTCAACAGAGTTGGACCAAGGGCTTTTCACTGACAGCTACTGCAAAGTGTGCAGCGCACAGCTCATCTCCGAGTCCCAGAGGGTGGCCCATTATGAGGTAACATGTCGCCCCTTGCCTTCACTTATAACCTTACACCAGTGGAACATTCTACACCACCCTAGAGTTAATGAAACGCTCACGCTGTAGTGTCTTGGACCTGGAAAAAATGTATCTGTTAACACCTGAAGCTAAATCCTAAACACTTGGCTTTAATGTTGGAGATAAAGTAGTGGTTGCAATGGTCTTAAAAAAACAACAACTTTTATTACTAGTTTTATTGCTGTTTACATGAGTACAGGTGTATTTTCAGTTAATGTTTAAATTCTATATTTTTGGCTAATTGCAACTGGTGCATTCCTTGTGGAAGGCTTTGGTTAATTTTTATTATTAGTTATTATTAGTCATTTACATTGTAAATCTTAACTTTTTTTTATTATTTAAGTACTTTTAGGACAGACATATTTTCTCAGGAAATGTGAGATACATTTTGGGGGTAGGAACTACAGTGGGGAAAGTGTACAGGAGCCTCTTAGCCTGAAACATGATCTGGAACACTCACTAACCTCTGTTTGGTTTTTTGTTTTGTTTTTTTTTTTTGTTTGTTTTTTTTAGGCTTTAGTTTCCCACCAAAATAAAATCTGCATGTCATGGGATTGAGTTCAGAGAAATTCTCAGAAACTATGAGAACACTCAGAAGGTCAAAGTCTGAAATCAGCCGCAGGGTTTCTGCAGAAGAGCATAGGAAACTTTTTTTTAACTTGGTTCATCGAATAATTCAAGCATAAAGTGGAGTGGGACTCACTGGATGAGGGGTTAAAAAAAAACCAAAAAAAAAACCCAACCTGCCTGTTTGCTGTTTGGCAGATTAGTCTGTAATCTGAAAATAGTCACATCATCGTACCATAACTTTTTGCACTTCATTATGGCTCCCAGGTGTAAGTCAGACTGTTCTGATTTGTTTATGTCCTTGATTATGATGTTACCACTTTGTTAGCATAGGTGAGTAACACGTATATACAGATCCTTTCCAAAAAATTAGAATATCGTGAAAAAGTTGTTTAATTTCCATAATTCCATTCAGAAAGTTAAACTTTCATATATTCATAGATTCATGGGCCACAATTTAATCAATTTCAGGTATTTATTTGTTTATTTTTTACATAATTTTGGCTTCCAGCTCATAAAACCCACAAAAACAGGATTTCAATAAATTAGAATACTGTGAAGAAATCATCAGGGCATGAATGTTTTAAACTGAGTGTCACACACCAATCATCTACTAAACTCAAAGCACCTTCACAGGTTTCCCCAGGTGTTATTTATTTGCTTTGGTTTGGTTCAATTGTCTCAGTTCGGTTCAATATGGGGAAGACTGCAGACATGACAACTGCCCAGGAGACCATCATTGATACCCTCCATAGGATGGGTAAACCTCAAAAGTTTATAGCTAAGGAGGCTGGCTGTTCACAGAGTGCTGTGTCCAAGCATATCAATGGAAAGTCTACTGGAAGGGAAAAATGTGGCACTAGCAAAAGAGATGACCGTGGGCTTCAGCGGATTCTCAAACAGAGAAGATTCAAGAATCTGGCAGAGATCCAGAAAGAGTGGACTGAGGCAGGAGTCACAGCTTCAAAAACCACCACATTCAGACGAATCCGGGAGATGTTGGCCAGTGGTCCAAGGTCCTCTTTTCCGAGGAAAGTAAAGTGTGCCTTTCATTTGGGAATCAAGGTTCAAGGGTTTGGAGGAAGACGGGTGAGGAACAGAACCCAAGCTGCTTGAGGTCCAGTGTGAAATATCCACAGTCAGTCATGATTTGGGGTGCAATGTCCAGTGCAGGTGTTGGTAAACCATCTCCCGGATTCGTCTGAATGTGGTGGTTTTTGAAGCTGTGACTCCTGCCTCAGTCCACTCTTTCTGGATCTCTGCCAGATTCTTGAATCTTCTCTGTTTGAGAATCCGCTGAAGCCCACGGTCATCTCTTTTGCTAGTGCCACATTTTTCCCTTCCAGTAGACTTTCCATTGATATGCTTGGACACAGCACTCTGTGAACAGCCAGCCTCCTTAGCTATAAACTTTTGAGGTTTACCCATCCTATGGAGGGTATCAATGATGGTCTCCTGGGCAGTTGTCATGTCTGCAGTCTTCCCCATATTGAACCGAACTGAGACAATTGAACCAAACCAAAGCAATTAAATAACACCTGGGGAAACCTGTGAAGGTGCTTTGAGTTTAGTAGATGATTGGTGTGTGACACTCAGTTTAAAACATTCATGCCCTGATGATTTCTTCACAGTATTCTAATTTATTGAAATCCTGTTTTTGTGGGTTTTATGAGCTGGAAGCCAAAATTATGTAAAAAATAAACAAATAAATACCTGAAATTGATTAAATTGTGGCCCATGAATCTATGAATATATGAAAGTTTAACTTTCTGAATGGAATTATGGAAATTAAACAACTTTTTCACGATTTTTTTGGAAAGGATCTGTATGTACATTTGGTGAGTTCCGACTTACTGCACAAATTGAACTCTAACATAAGTTGAAGACCGCCTGTAGTATTGTAGTAATATAGTTCAATAATAAAATACGTTTTAATTTTGTATCTATTGTAACTTTTTGCAAACTCAGTTTTCCTTTTTTTGTTTCCTTTTTTTAAATTACCTTTTCCTGATTGTTTGCCATCTGTTAGCTACTGCAAATAAAATATTTAGAAAAAATCCTGCATTTTTTAAAAATTTAATGAATAATAGATTCAGATTGCATTCATTTTCTATATTAAAATATCAAAAAGTCAACCAAACCAAGTTCTGTTTCAAATACACTGCCAAACCTTCCTACCAGTCCAACTGGTAGGATGTTGGTTTTCCACTTGGATGTGGACTCTGTGTTGTGGGCGTACAGTATATGCAGCATGTTGCATGTATGCAGTATGTTTTATATTCACATACCACCGTAGATGTGAGTTAGTTTAACACAGAAGTTTTACAACAGAAAGATCGACCACGATCTCAGGCTCTGTGTGGGAGGCAGACACCTGGTTTCCTTCCTCCTGCCTGGGAGGTGTCAGGTAGAGTTGTTGCTGCAGATGCAGCCTCTCACTCACTGTCACTGTGAGTTAGAAGACCACAGTGCTGCTGCTGCTGCCCATACTCTCTAACAAGAAGTGATAGGAACGATGTGAAGCCCTCGGTCCACTCGTGTGGTTCTATTAGAGGGAAGGTGGTTGTAATTATTTCATCAGCCTTAAGGAATATCATTTGAGTGAATTTAACCTTGAATTAGAATATATATTATTTCCTTCAGGGTGAAATCTCATAAATAGCAAATGGTAAGACCTATTATTTTCTCTGACAGCGTCACTTGGTTTAAAGTTTGTTTCCCTTTGCCTTTGACTCAACTTTTCTTCTACAACTATTAAAAAGTTGAAATGAGTCTGCTGCAGGCTGTTGTGCTCCAGCGTGAAGTTCTATTTAAAGTCTACAGGTAACAGGAGAAGCCGTTTTGTTCTTCGGGGCGTTCCTAGAGATGGGAAGTGGGAAGTGGATCCAAATCAAATATTCATTCAGTTATTGTCTGCTCCATGAGGAATACGACACTTGGCCTGTTGCCTCCTAGACACAGTGTTCATTTGGATTGTGCTTTGGAACATTAGAAGCTGATAAAATGAGGTAGGTTACTCAGCAACAAAACGATAGTTGTAAAAATAGGTGCTTTACAGTTGTATCTGGGTTGTTGGAAATTGTCTCCTCTGCATTCTTTCTGATAAACAATGACCTTTAGAACCAAACAGAAGAAAATTGAAGCAAAACTGGATGCAAGGGAATTGTGTAACTGACGGCTTTGGCTGTCCAACATTTGCATCGTGAGCATCTCTGTGTGAATCGGCTTTTTGTTTGGAGTCCTGAGTTTCTGTTCTCAAAAAATTGGAATTACTAATCTATAGAAGGTAAAATATTACAGAAATATAAATATAACAAAATATAAAAACCAAGGGAAAATGTTTCCCAAAATAAAATGAAATTAAAGACTAAGCCAATAACAACCCTACATAAACATTTCTATATTTTTATTAAGAACTTTAAAATCATTTTTAAGGATTTTAATCTGACATTGTTTAGAAATCTGCTAAATGATGCATTCAAAATTTGATAAAATTGCCCTAAAACTTCCAACACACTGTGGTGTAAAAATACCCCAAACTGACAGCTCCTCTCTCTTTTCCCCTGAGCTTAAAAACTTCAGACAGACGGTTCATCTCCGATCGCTTCAGTGTCGCGTGTGAATTCTTACAGCTGTTCTAGATGGAACATTAAAATCCCCTAAGTTAAGACTCGGGTCCCAGGTTTCAGCAGAGATGGCAGATGTAACGTATTCATCTTTGGGAGAACATCAAAGCCACTGAAGTTCCTCTGCGGAGTGGATCAGAGCTCTCTCCGCTTCAAAGACTTGCGTTGCTCATGTTAATTCTGCATCTGTCTCTTTGCATGTGTACGAGGGTGGGTTGTGAACCGCAGCCTCCTCCGGCAGGATGCCCCTGCTACCAGCTCCGCAGGAGAAACCCTTTCAAACACCGTGTGCTACTGCTCACTGAGGCAGAGGAGCAAAGTGTGCTGGAGGAAAATGATTGCGTTACGTTCAGTGTGCGCTGGTAGAATATTGATGTTTCATATGATTACAAAGAAGCAAACACAGTGATCAAAAGCAGACTTTAACAGTATGGCTGTAAAATAATTGGTTTTGAATCTATCAAGATGTTGCTGATGCTGATGGTACCCTAATCTGTAATAAGAGGAGAAAGCAGGCAAAAGAACAACTGCAATAGTTGAAAAATTAAAAAGAAAGTTAGGATGAAAATGAGGAATGTCAAATGTTCAGAACTGAGAAACAGTTGTTGTTAGAGTCATGAGGGCAATCTTAAAGAAGCACAGAGCCATGCAGCCTGGTGTAATCACCTAAAATGACATAAAAATCCTTAAGGGACTCACCTGAACTTGCCTCTCCTTGTGTTTCCATTATGAGTCATTGTTGTTTTTTTTATGTCCACAAAATAT